ATATATATATATATATGAAGATTATAATAATATTGATGTAATTTTTAGTAAGTATTACACCGCTCAATAACTTTATATTAAATGTGAACAACTGTTAAATTGAAAGTTCTTTACTCTTAGATTATATATACAAAATTTTATATTAATTCAAGATGATTTGATACTTCATTCTTATAAAATAAAATTGACGTAATATATACATTTTAAAATTACTAAAATATGAACTCTTAGATTACCTTCAAATTGTTGTTCAATTTTAACAAAATTTGATATAAGCACATAAAATGATATGAACTTTCAATCTAACAGTTGAATTTACAAAATTCATATTCAATATAAAGTTATTGAACGATGTAATAAAAGTTATACCAGTATTATTATTATTATTATTATTATATATATATATATACACAAAATTTTATATTAACTCAAGATGATTTGATACTTAACTCTTATAAAATAAAATTGACGTAATATATACATTTTAAAATATACTAAAATATGAACTCTTAAATTACCTTCAAATTATTGTTCAATTTTAACAAAATTTGATATAAGCACATAAAGTGATATGAACTTTCAATCTAACAATTGGATTTACAAAATTCATATTTAATATAAAGTTATTGAGCGATGTAATAAAAGTTACACTAGTGTTATTATATATATATATATATATATATGTGTGTGTGTGTGTGTGTGTGTGTGTGGAGGGATCCGTTCACTCCAGTAATAAGTCTACTTAGACTTACTTTGTTCAATAACTCATACTCTACATCAAATCTCAACGATCCAACCATTAAACTTAAGTTCTTAATACACAAATCAAATCTACAAATTTTAAAAAAATTTAAAAATTATTTGATACTTCGTTTCATTAATTCAATTTGATAGATAACATATTTTTATAATTATCCATCAATTTCAATTAATAAATTGAAGTATCAAATGATTTTTAAATTTTTTAAAAATTTGCAAATTTGATTTGTGTATTAAAAACTTTAAATTCAACGGTTAGATCGTTGAAATTTAATATAGAGAATAAGTTATTGAATGAAATAAGCTTAAGTAGACTTACTCCTAGAATAAATGGATCCCTCTTCTATCTCTGTATCTCTCTATATATATATATATATATATATATATTGAGATAATAAGATTTAATCTTAAAATCATGCAAATTATTTTAATTATTTACTCTCTTTTTTTGAAGCAATTTTAATTATTTACTTATAGGTCGGGTTTGTAGATTCATTTATACTCTAAATTTATTACATCTCAGTAATTTTTAAAAATTAAAAAAAATTAAAGAGAAATTATTCTAGAAATTATAGTAATTCAGCAAAAAAAAACCTCAATTAGGTAAATAATATCATTTAGAAAATAATAAGCACCGCATGGATATCTAATTCAGTGATGAAATAAAGTGGTAAAAATTTCTCCTTTCAAAACCTAGGGTAGTTTCTATAGTGTGCAACATTGTTCATTACTGAGAGAGAATTTACTGCCACTACACAATAGTATGTCAGGACTTGCTATGGATCAAGAAATTATTGATAAATTCCATTTTGTTAAAGACAAATACTTGTTATTTTGTGATAGTTAAAGTGTTCATATATCTAAGAATTTAGATTCAAATATATTGATGTAAGATATTATTGGAATGTGGTGTACCGGATGACATTTTTGTTTTTATATAATTATGATGTTATATAATGACTAAAGTGAAATTTCAAAACTTATTGCGAGATTGGCATATTTATAGTATTTTTACATGATTGTCTGAAAGTAATTTGTTGGATATTAGATTTCTTTCTTAATTAGATGAAAAAAGACCCAAAATATAAGTTTATTATATGTATCAAGAAAAATATCGATTAAAAACAAAAATCATAAATAGAAGAGGAAGGTCTTTATTGCATATTCATATAACAGTCAGCGTAAAATTACATTTGTTGTTATTCACGGTATATATTTATGTTATTTTGTTACTATCTCCGATAATTAACTTTTTATTAAAATATTACTAATACAACCTAATGTCGTCTAATACAATTTTTGATAAAAATTATTATTAGTTTAGACTAGTTAGCAAAATTCATCTATAAAGTTATGAATACAAGTTATTAAGAAAATTTAATTTTGAAATGTAATTTATTAATGTACCATGATATAAAACATTAAAAAAATTAATTTAGTTATTCTTTATTTGTTTGGAGGATACAAATGATATAAAACATAAATAACTTAGAGTATTATGATGGATCCCAACTTTGATAAGAAGAAAGCAAAGGGCAATTTGCCCAACTTATAAAAAATAAATATTTAAGTGAGTGTAAAATAAAGTGTACGTATTCATATTATTATTTAAAAAATCATCTAAACATACTTACAATAAAATTTAAAATTAATAATAATTTTAATAAGTAATTTTATAATTAATTATTATTATTATTATTATTTATTTTGTAAAGCATATTTCTCTCATCAAATACAACAAAGAAAACTATCTCTCGAAAGGTCTAACTGCCAAACAAGATTACTAGTGATTTGGTGCTTTAATTCAATATTTAAAATTTGGACAATTAACATGTCATGAATTTTGATTGGTGTGTTTTATTTGTGTAAATTTAATAATTAAAAAATATTTTTCTTACATGCATATTAAACTATTTTCACATGCAAATTAAACCAAATCCTTTTCTTTCTGGTAACATATTGGTATGTGCGGTATTCATTGTGATCAATCAACGATCTACGATTGTGTTCGTCATCTCTAAAGCGATCAATCAAGTTTGAGAGGACGACATAGCAAAACAATCATGTCTATGTCTGATTCTGATTCCTCTTCTTATGTTGGGGATTACAAAAGTTTTAAACAAATTTGTCGTGAGCGTAAGTTCTTTTTCCCTTTTATCAATTATTCTTTTAGATATTAGTCATCATGATCCCTCATAATTTCTAACTTATGTATTTATTACTAAATTTGAACAAAATATTAGTGCCCAAATTTATTATTGTTAGGACATTGTTTCTATTTGAACATTTATCAGTTACATGACAAGCACATTAAGACAACTAGCTTAGAGGTTTCAAGTTTGTCTATTGAGTTGAAATATACTTTTTTGGTATTGTGTTGTAACATATGTCATTACTTGGTGCTTATGGTTGTAAAGAAAATATCAAATTTTCATGATGATTTGTCTTCTATTACTTCTTCTATGGGGTGCTTGGCTAATGATGGTTATTTTAGGTTGATATGTTTAGTGTGATAAAAGTTTTAATCACATGGCTTGATTAATTCTCACATAGACTTATTGTCATAACATATTTCATCATAATTTATCTTGAGAATTAAGTTGGAATTCATGCACTTGGTGTGAAGGATGAATCCATTTTTGAATTATTGAGAGAATTCCAATAAGTGAGAAAACAACATATAAAAACACCAATGTGGTAGAAACTACCTTTTATCTAACAAACATACATTCAATGTGTCAAAACTAACTAATGGAGAGACAATTGCATACGAGAATAGGATTCAACGAGCAACAAGTAGCCCAACCCATTATGAGTCATTCACACCAACAACATATTTAAGTACCACTACATCATTTTTCAAAATTAGTATTATTCAATAATATTATATGTAACCAAATAATGTTAATTTACAAAATAATGAAGAGAGATTCAACATAGTTGACAAGGAAAAAGTGACAACTAAAATGCACGTTGTCATCCCTTTATTCAATATGTTATTTTATCATTTGCACATCTATTTTTTTTTTCTTCTCTTATTGTCTTTTGTCCATGTAAATAGAAAGAAAAGGAGAGAAAATTGCATTATGGATGAAATCATTCCAAATTATTTCACAATTCTTTAAATACATGACAGATCAATTTGTTATTGTACATGCCATATAAGTTTCTCTACAATTAGTATTTTAGAATTAAGTATCATCACCAAATTCAATGTAGAACTATTTTTGGATTTATGTTATCTTCCCAGCCATTTTAGTTTTCCTTTAGTTCTTTTAAAATTTTAATTATTTATGATCTGATAAACTTGTTTAATTTCTTTTTGTTGGTATTGTCTCTAGGATTATTACATGAAATGTTGAGATCAACAAAAACAGGAGATTCAATATCAACTTGGAAGGTATGAGTTAATAGTTTAATGAATTCTAACTTAATAGCTGTATCCTTTAATCTGAAAATAGGAGTAAAGGACTCACCCTTCTATATTTTTATTTAACGTTTGTAGTTTACTGTCAATTAGATAATTCATGTGTCTAAAGTGTTTGCTTTATTCATTGGGTCAATATTGAAACTAGGATCATCGTGAGTAGTATTTAATCGATTGCCTCTAATATCTATACTAGTCTTAAAGTAGTTGGTTATTGAGATAAGCTTATAGGTAACTTTTTGTTATAAGTTTGTTAATAATTTTTTTGTAGTTGTTATATCTCTCATTTTTGTTGTAAGGTAATAAGTTAGTTATAACTAGTATGCACACTAAACTTTTTGGGCTAGTTTCCATGTAGTAAGTACATGTAGATACACATATGTGTTGGCAATTGGCTTACATGTAACCAAGTATTAAAATTAATTTTTTTTTACATTTGAGTGAGTATTGAAAGTGAATTAAAGAAACTAACAAGTATAAAGTAGAAAATTGAATTTATTGATTATCATCTTATAATAATTCACAAGTTGCTTGTCTGCAGGTATTAATAATGGACAAACTAACTGTAAAGATAATGTCTCACTCATGCAAGATGACTGATATCACTAACGAAGGTGTTTCATGTAAGTAGTCATTTTTTCTTTCTACTTACAACCAAAAAATGGTTTCCTCCCATATTTTTTTCTTATTGATCTTTTAATAGTAAGGCAAATTTTATTTGTAAAAGTAATGCTATCCCTTCAGTCTCACATTCCATTCCCTTTTGGAAACTTCAAAATTTCAAATTGGGGTATTTATTCACATCCCTCGCCTTACCTCACCAAAAAGACTATTGGAGTGTGTTTGACGATCACTTTTGTCTTCTAGAATTAATTTATTATTAAGGAATTGATGCTAGTTTCCTTCCTTTAGAATTTGAGTTGAAGTGCTTATGCTTAATCACATGTCATTATTCTGTTATAAAATTTAGTATGGTCGAATAGTTCCATTAAAATAAATATTTTTTTAATAATTAATAATTTATTATGAATTCAATTTACATGAGAATATAAGAAAATTATTTAAGTAACAATAGTTTTGTGCATTTAGTTTCATTTCTTGTATAAAGGGTTAGCTTTGCAGAATATAAGTTTGCTACACTGACCTTGTTTTCATCGACTCTAGTTGTCAAAATAACCTTTCTACTTACCAAAGTAAGCACGTGTGCTGGCATATTATATTGGTTCATCATTTTTAGGAGACAATAAATGTAGCTCATTTTGTATTTTGCATTTAGATTACTTAAAAGTTTTGCATAATGTTACTACAAGCATTTTTAAGCCACTATTTATCTTGTTGCTTTTGTTATCTTGTTTTGCTTTTAAAGATATCTTATCCTATTTTATCTCTTCTTCTCATTTTATTACTACTTATTTTTTAATATAAAACACAAAACTATATAATAAAGGAGAACTAGAGACATCAAAACACATTTCACGCTAATCTAAAACAAAGAAGCATATAAGTAATATCAAAATAATAATACGTAACTTAGAAGTTAAGATTTTGGAAGAAAAAAAACTATAACAATTAATAAAAACTAAGAAAATATAAAAAGTTATCCAAAACCAAAAAAAAAAAAAATCATTTGAAAAGGCAAAAACCTAAAATTGAACTTTCAGTAATAAAGGAATAAGTAATATCAAAATAATAACACGTAACTTAGAAGTTAAGGTTTTGAAAAAAAAAAACTATAAAAATTGATAGAAACTAAGAAAAAAATTGATAAAAATTGATATATATATATATATATATATAATTATCCAAAACCAAAATGATTCATTTGAAAAGGAAAAAACCTAAAATTCAACTTTCAAGAATAAAGGAATTAAAAAGGTACAGTTTGTAGCAAAGATGCTTTAACATATATACATACATAAAAAAATATGAATACTTTCTTCAAGATTCATTGCTATTAACCAATTCTCATTGATAATAATGATAAGATGTAAAAAGTACATAAACATATTTTCTAAGGTCATTATATAAGCACGTCTCTCTAAAAAAGAATAGGAAAATAAATATTCAGGTATGAGTAGTATGGTAATTTCATAAATAAAACTATATATGTACATGAATTCAATTCAATTTAGATCAATTTTAAAATCAAAGTTAGAAACCTATCCAATAAAAAAAATTATTTTTCAAATACATTTTTTTTTATTTGGTTTGTGGTGTTTGTATTGGATTGTATCGATTTATAAACACTTTTATAAGATAAGGTTATCAACATATTGGTGGGAGCCTAACACATTATGGTTTTTTGTATGTTGTGAAATTTTGTTGTTCTTTTTGTAGTGGTTGAAGACATATACAAACGAAGACAATCATTACCCACCATGGATGCTATATATTTCATCCAACCAACTCGAGAGAAGTAATATATTTGCTATTTGTTTCAGGTTTTGTTACAATGCAATCTGATATAAAATATATAGAATTAATGCCTTGATAAATAAATATGTAGTTTACAAAACAATTTAGGGAATATACTTTTGTTGAGTTTTGAATTTTGAAACTTATAATTTGTTGTTTTTGTTCCAACTTTTTTTTTTTACTTTGCCCTATTAAATTCGTTGTCAATTAGGTTCATATTTTCCTTTTTATTTTATTTTTTTATTTAATTTAATCATCATATATTTACTTTCAAAAATGGCATGATTGTTTCTTTATTATTTTTTATTTTTATTAAATTTTGTTTTGATCATTCCTTTTTGTTCTCTACAACTCAAATGGTGATGCATTACTTTGTCTCTCTATCTCTCTTGATTATTCGTTTATAATGTAAATTGTCGAATAGTTAACATGTTTCAGTCTTTTGAATATGGAACATTTTCATTTAGGTTTGATGTGAAATTTAGTTGGTTTTTTTAATTGGCCCATATTTGATGATTTTCTTTCCACTTCTGCTGGCAGTGTAATAATTTTTTTGTCAGACATGTCTGGAAAAACACCCTTATACAAGAAGTATGTGGTGATTATTGTAATATCTCTTTTGTCTTCAATTCATCATGACTTCAAAAAGTTACTTGTCTTTAAGTATTTTTTATTTCATGTTCCTATAGGGCATTTGTTTTCTTCAGTTCAACTATTTCTAAAGAATTAGTTACTGACATTAAGAAAGATGCAAAAGTGTTGACTCGATTAGGGGCATTGAGAGAGGTAAAGATATTTTGTTTAAAAACTTGATTGTGCCTAATAAATGACATTTGCTTATCGTTCCCAATCAATGGTATTGCTTTTTGTGCTTTCCTCCTCATTTGGATGGCATATGCAGATGAATTTGGAGTATTTTCCCATAGACAGTCAGGTATGTCGTTGTTCACTTGTACTTTATACCATTTCACCTTCAATCTATAATATATGTCACTTTTTTTAATATGAGTATAATTATATTTTTTCCTTTTTGATGGTTAATAAAGTTCAAAACTTATGACATGTAAAAGTGTTTCATATTTTGGTAGAGTTACACATAGATATGAATTTATTTCACGTGATGAATTAGGATTAGATTAAATTAATTATAAATTTAGAATCTATTAGTTGAAGAAAACCTTTCTCAAATACACACAAAGGTTGTGTTTGAAAACATTGAATAAATTGAGCAAGCAAACTATGCTGAATTTGCAAAGTTACAAGCTTTTTTGTGGAATAAATTGTAGTGTTATCCAAGAAGTAAAAAGTTAACAACTAGAAAATGTGGATTGGAAAGTTCGTCTATGCAAATTGAAAATTTTGATCATTCATGTGTATCTTCTACACTATCTTATTAGGAACTCAACATTCATGAAACCATATTGTTGATATCTTTTGATTGTGAAATATGTATCAATTTCTAATTATGTTGTTAGAAATTCTTTTAGTTTTTGATGCCCTAGTCATTTCATTATTAGATGTCTTCAATTTTTGTGTTTTTTTTTTCATGTTAATGCAGGGTTTCATCACAAATAATGACCAAGTGTTAGAGGAGTTATTTGGGGATGAAGAGAATAATCATAAAGGTGTTTCATCTTTGAATGTGATGGCAAAAAGGATTGCTACAGTTTTTGCTTCTTTAAGAGTATGTAGATAGTGCTATGTGACAAAGATAAATAAATTGTAGTCAATTATTTATAATTGTTTAAACTTGTGATTGAAAAGTCTTCTAAAACATTTTAAGGAATTTCCTTCTGTTCGCTTTCGTGCTGCCAAGTCCCTAGATGAAACTACAATGACTACTTTTCGTGATCTTATTCCTACAAAGCTTGCTGCCGAAGTTTGGGATCATCTTGTGAAATATAAAAAAAGTATACCTAACTTTCCTCAGACAGAGACGTGTGAATTACTCATTCTTGATAGATCTATTGATCAGGTTTCTTAGCTTCATTTACTAGTTATATATTGACTTGTAATATTCTTTTGATAAATGATCAAGTTTTTTACAATAAGGATATTACTTTGATTTTTGTAGATTGCACCTGTGATACATGAATGGACTTATGATGCCATGTGTCATGATTTGTTGAATATGGAGGGAAATAAATATGTTCATGAAGTAACTTCTACAATTTCCTTTCTCACTCTAAACTTTTGTATTTGCTTTCTTATAAATAAACACAAATCTTTTGTATTTTTAAGGTTCCCAGCAAACCTGGTGGTCCAATAGAGAGAAAAGAGGTTCTTTTGGAGGATCATGATCCTATATGGCTTGAGCTTCGCCATGCTCATATTGCTGATGTACGTCATACTTTTACGCTTGTACTATCCTATTTAAGCAACATGAGTACCTTTTCATATTAATGATCATGTCAGGCTAGTGAACGACTGCATGAGAAGATGACTAACTTTATTTCAAAGAACAAAGCTGCACAGATACAACATGGTTCAAAGTGAGTGATAATTATCTAGTGATTTCTCAACAATGTCATTGTTATGAAAGAGTTATCTTATAAATATTTAACTTAATGATTTCGTCATTATAAGAAATTAATTATTTGCCTAATTTTTTTAAATTTTTAGATTTATCGTTGTAGAATTGTATGATTTCACTTGAATTTGTTCCACAAAAATAATATGGAAATCTCAACCTTACCATCTCATGGTTTCCTGTCATCACATAATTGCTTTGAGTTTTATCGCTCATTTTGCAATATCTAACTATCTACAAGAACACTTTGAATACATTTCCTTCTTGTTTGAATCATCGGGGTGTAGAAAATGAACAAATCATAGATGACAAAGTATCTTTTTTTTTTTTTGTTTTATGGGACAAAGTGCAATTGGATCAAACCTTATATGTTGTGAAACTGAAGTTAAGCTTAACTTTCATGTTATTTATGTATTTTTATATTAAAAAATAAATGGGAAAACTTGAGCGTTGTTTTATGATAGCAAATTAAATTTGATGTCACTTTATATTGTATCATAGGGAGACAAAGGAGAATATGGGTCAAACCACATGGTGGGATACTGTAATTTACCTTTCATATTAAAATTTGACATTATGAGAAACTAAATTTAAAATCAATCTTGGAAAATTTGAGTTTTTGATGTTAAACATTGTAGGATAAACTTTTACTCAAGAATGTAGGTTAAGATGTTTAATACAATATAATATGATACACCTAGTTTTTTTTATGCCAAAATAACTTTTTTTTTTTTTGGATGAAGTGTTAATAGTGAAGTTGTTAAATATAATATAATATGATATAATAGTTTCTTATACCAAAACTACTTTGTTTTTCGGAAGGACTGTTAATGGTTTTGTTTATCTGTTGTCATTAAATATTTAGTTTTACGTTCATTTACCAATCAAACTTTGAAAAATAGCTTAGTTGTATACCATGTCAAAATAATGTTTGTCCTGCGTGGAGTATTTTTTTTTTATCAATTTGAACTTTTATGATTGTTTGGCTTAAACATAACATTGATGATCTTGTTTTTTTAATCAAATATTGATAATCTAATTGGATATTCAACTTTTAGAGAAGATTTTATGATATGTCCTCACTATAATATTTAAATACTTATTCTTAGGGATAATTTTACATTCAAAAATATTTTTTTTATCTAACACTAAGAATTATTATACAATAATTCCATGTATTGTTTAAAACTTGTTGTTTTCTATTGAGTCATTTTAAATCCTTGTTGCGTAAAATGTTCAAGTCCTTAATTGAAAATCAAAAGCATATTTGTTTTGTTGTTGAGAAAATTTAACCTTTTTTTATTAATTTAATTGGGCCTAGATTTGTTGTTTGGTGGAAGTGTTTATCTATTCTTTTATTTCTCATCATAACAAACTTAAATAATTGAAATATATTGTCTTTATTGTCATAGTGGTGAAATGTCAACAAGGGACTTACAGAAAATGGTTCTAGCACTTCCAAAATACAATGAACAGATTGACAAGCTCTCTCTCCACGTAGAGGTTAGTTCTTTGTAATGCAATTTTGATATTTTTTTATATAATAATCATATGATATGTTTCCACACAAATGTGTTGTTTACTCTCGAAAGTTGATTATAAGAGGTGTTCTATAATTACCTTGTATTCTTTAGAAGAAGAAAAAATTGTATTTTTTTTGTAATGTCAAATTTTTAATTGTATGATTGGGTAATCATTTTAACTTCCCATGTTATGACCTTCCTATTAAGCAATGCAATATTACTGCTTCCATCATAACTCTTGTTAATAGATGATGAAATAAAATTAAAAAAATTGCACTTTGGTTTGTTAGATATTTTTAAAAGTTAGTTCTTTTTTCACAATTGATTAAGATAAATAATTAATTGTGCCAGTGAATATAAACAAGGTTAAATGAGTTTTAAGTCTTTATTATTTGAAAACTATTATCAAGTTTAGAAAAAGTTTTAAAAAAAAACTTATAGAAGAAAATAATATAGAGATAATATTGTTAGAAAAATTGAAAAATGTTTGATGATATATCTTAGAATATTTTAGAGTATATAGTTTATATCTTAGGATTTATTTCTCTTTTATATTTTATGATTTTTTCCTATTTAATTAGGATCTTTATCATTATAGGAATTTTTTTAATCAATTAGAATTACAATGATAATATCAAGGTTTAAATCTAAGATCTTATACATATTACCTCAATCTTTTCGTCACTAAGTTGATCATAGTGATTTTATTATAGGTATAATTGAATTAGAATCAAATTTATTAGAATATCGTTTATAGACATTTCATATCATGTAAAGGAAAAAAAATTCCTATAAATTTCATATTACAATTTGTCTTTATAAAACAAATTTCGTTTTCTAGTTTAAGGTTTAAGGTTTAAGATTTAGAGTTTTATAGTTTTGACACACAATTTTAACATCTCTTACATCTATTTTTATCTTTTTCAACTAAAACAATCAAACTTATCATATAAGGTGAAATCAACTTAAGAACTTATCAAAGGTTGAGGTGAAAGGCTTAATTTTGACTTTATAGGAGATTTTTTTTTATTCATTTTACCCCTTTATTTTCTTCTTATATAAGTGTTATTTGAAAATTTTAGCCAAATTAATCCTATAAGTGAATCCTCATATATAGTTTTGAAACGAAAAGAAATCAATAAGGTCTCTAAATCTAGTATACTATTTGGTTCTTATGATTTACAAGGACCGGTTGATTTTTTAAAATATTTATTTAAAATATTTAATAGTGAGGTCGTGGAGATTGATTTAACCATTTAAATTTGTTTGACAAATCATTTGAGGAGTTTATAAACTCTTTTTATAAGCTTATAAATTAATTTGACCAAAATATATTTGTTTAGTACAAGAACTTATTTTAATAACTTATAACTTATAAGCTCTTATCTTTTTTTTTTCTTTATTCTTATTAATTTTTTCAAAATATTTTTTTATCCTTTTAATTATGTTCATGGGTTCCAATTTCTATAACCATATAAAGAATGAGATTTTTTGTCTAGATTGCAGGAAAAATTAATAGAATCATTAGGGAGTCAGGACTACAGGAACTTGGTCAACTGGAGCAAGATCTTGTTTTTGGAGATGCAACTACAAAAGATGTGATCAGATTTTTGAGCATGAAAGAAGTAAGAAATTATTTGAACGGGAAAGAAAATTGCCATTCCTTACACCTAATCAATACATATTTCGAAATGAGAAAGCTGTTCGATGCAAGATATGAGTTGTTAGATTGGGATGCATTTTGCATTGTTTCATCTTATAAGTTTGATATAAATGTTGCCTTTATGCAGGATATGACATGTGAAAATAGGTTGCGCTTGTTAATGATTCTTGCCTCTATTTATCCTGAGAAATTTGAGGGAGAAAAGGGTCTCAATTTGATGAGGGTATGGTTCCTTTTTTACAGGGTACAAACTTAATTTCCAGTTGTTGTTCATTTTAAATTTTAAAGATAAATATGTTGTTAAATATACTATGCCTAAGAACTGCAATGATGTTATTCAAATTTTACCTTTTCATATGCTTCTTAGGTAGCAAAATTGACAGAAGAGGATATGAGTGTTGTGCATAATTTGAAAATGCTTGGGGTACAACCAGTTGCCAAAAAAAAAATGACCACCGCTTTTGGTCTTAAGTTTGATATCCGTAAGGTAAAGGTGGTAATTTCTAGATAACATATGTGATTTTTCAACATTATGTTTTGTATGAAAAGTGTTATTTTAAGTTGCCAGAAGAAGAAGAAGCGTGCTGCAAGAAAAGAACGTCTTGATGAAGAAGAAAAGTGGCAGCTATCACGCTTTTATCCCATAATAGAGGTACAAATTAGGTTTCATAATCTTCCAATGTAGAATATGCATTCATTCCCTGATGAAAATCTCACCGAGATGATTTCACTAACTTAAAACTTGAATGTTAACAATGTGTTTGGAAATTTGAAGACCAAGTCTATAAGGACTTTTTAGAGATTTTCTATACAAAAAAAAAAAAAAAAAAAAAAAAAAAAAAAAAAAAAAAAAAAACCTTTTAGACTGGTATCAAACATGCTTTAAGACTATAATTCTCACTACAAAATACATGAAATAGGCAAACAACTATTTACTATTCTTTCTTTTAATGTCATTGTGATTCTGTAACGTAATTAAAAATAAGGCAAAAGTATTTTTCCACATGATGCCCTATTTTTTATTTATAAGAATTTATTTATGATGATTCGTGTGTGTGATGAGTGCATGTTTATTCAGGAACTCATTGAAAAACTCACAAAAAATGAATTGTCAAAGGAAGATTATCCATGTTTGAATGATCCAAGTCCATCATACCACGGATCACCTCTTTTTGGTTCTGTAAACCAAAATCCTCATTCAATGAGATCAAGGCGTACACCTAGTTGGGCTCGATCACGTAGTTCTGAGGATGGCTACTCAAGGTTTAATTTTCTTCCCTCATCAATACTCAATAATCTAATTGCTTCATATGAGATCAATTAGTTTTTCTTTCTTTATCCATTAACATTATTCTTCCATTTGGTTCTCTATGGCTGCTTATTATTCCCCCCTCATTTTTTTAGTTGTTTTGGCTTGCTTAGGCTTGTTATTATTTGATAATTTGTAGGGAA